GAATTTGGATCATATGGTAGTTTTAAGATAAATATTTATCTTATGGTACTGGGGATTGAACCCAGGGCCTTGCACATGTGAGGATATGGATTTCCCTGATGGTTAAATGATACAGAACATTATTTGTCTATTTGTTGGCTATTTGTACTTCTTTTAAGAACTATCTTTTCAGATGATTTGTTGTTTTTGTTGTTGTTTTTATTTATTTTTTTATGGTGCTGGGATGGAACCCAGAGCCCCTGAGACTAAGTGCTGTACTTAAGGGTGTTTGGGATTTAATCCAGGGGTGCTCTACCACTGAGCTACATTCCCAGCCCTGTGGTTAATTTTTGGAGTTTCTTATGTATTCTGGTGTCAGATGACTAGCTGGCCAAGTTTTCCCCCTATTCTGTAGATGGTCTCTTTACTCTGTTGATTGTTTCCTTTGCTGTGCTGAAGCTTTTTGGTTTGATGTCATCCCATTCGTCAATTTTGTTCTTTGTCTACTGTGAGAAATACCACGCTTCATGAACCCTGTTAATACATACAATTAACACAGGTTAACAAAACATTTTTAAAAAGACAGCTTTGCTTTGGCATGTATTTGATGAAGCAATAGAGTTATTAATTTTATGAAGTCTCAACTCTAAGTGTGTGTCTTTTTAATATCCTGGTGGTGAAATATGAAGCCCACTCTGAGGCACCGCTGCAGTGGTATTCAGAAGAACCTCGTGTGACTGTCCAAACTGCAAGCGGAAGGGGTGTGGTTCAGTGACAGGGCACTTGCCTAGCATGTGCAAGGCCCTGGATTTGAGCCCCAGCACCAGCTATGACAAAAAAAAAAGGGGGGGGGGTTGGGGTTGTGGCTCAGTGGTAGAGCACTTGCCTAGCACATGTGAGGCATTAGGTTTGATTCTAAAATAAAGGTATTGTGTCCATTTACAACTAACAATATTTAAAATAAATAAATAAAAACAACAGAAAAAAACTGCGAGCTGAACTAACCATGTTGTTATGGGATACAATTTTTAGAGAGACAAACCTTGGTTTTTCATGGATATTTGGTAGACATTTTTACAAAACTGAAAAGCATGTTTCTGTCCCTTCAAGAAAAACAACTGGCAATTTTTGTTGTCAATAATATAATATGAGCCTTTAAGTGATTGATATTGAATAATGAGATGTGCATGGGTAAAGATGTGTTTAGTAGACTTTAATGTTAATATAGCACAAAAAGTTTAGATTCCGCATTGTAACTGTCCTTTAAGAAACTAAAATTTGAAGGGTTTTAGTGTAGTTTTGAATAATAGCCACAATCACTTGAAAAGCTGATTAAAATACTCTGCCTGGGCTTGCGGGTGCAGCTCAGTGGTAGGGTGCTTGTCTGTCCAGCATGTGCGAGGCACTGGGTTTGATCCCTAGTACAGAAAAAGCAACAAAATACATTCTTCCCTTTCTCAACTACTATCTGTGTGAGGCTGAACTTTCTCCTTGTACTTCAAACAAAATAACATGCCACCACAGATTCAGTGCAGAAGTGGATTCAGTCAAGTTCTCATTATTCACAGTGGTTATGTTTTATAAAGTTGCTGTGAATATTGAATTAGCAAACACTGAGTTAACGAATACTGAATCATTACTCCTAGGGGGAATCTCAGGGTTAGATTTCTATGAGCCCCTGTTCACAACATTTTTGTCAACTGATGAATAAAACTTATTTTATGTATGTTTCTAATTAAAGAAAGTTTATTGAACATATATTGTTCATTCTTTAAAACTGGCTGGTGGCCAAGAACACTACAATTTATATCTAAGTGAAGCTCATCAAGCACATGTATTTTCTCTGTAAGAAAAAATGTAACAAGAAAAAATGCCTAACACTGAGAAATATTAGCCAGCACTTCAATACTATGCTTGGGGCCATTTTAGTTTATTTTTTTTGGTACTAGGGATTGAACTCAGGGACACTCAACCACTGAGCCAAATCCCTAGCCCTGTTGTATTTTATTTAGAGACAGGGTCTTGCTGAGTTGCTGAGCACCTTGCCGTTGCTGAGGTTGCCTTGAACTCTGGATTCTCCTGCCTCAGCCTCCAGAGCAGCTGGGATTACAGGCCTGTTCCACTGTGCTTGCTTGGGGCCATTTTAAACAGCAAAGTCAATGAAATGCACAAAAACTTGAAAGAATGTGGTGCTAAGTAGACCACAAGACACTTGTTCACAGCATGAGCTTAAGCAAAACAATAATACTGCCCTGTTCAACCTTAGCTAGAAACATTTGCATGGAGCAGCTCATCCATATCATCATATCTACTACTACCTGCCCCCCCCCCTACACGTTTCAGGATAACAGTGAAGGCTTCACGGATATTGATCTTGGGGTTACAAATAATTTTTAGCAAATAGATAAATTTGCACATTCACCATCTGTGAGTAATTAAGATCAACCTTATGGCAAGTTCTCTTTCTATATAGCTAGACATTAAAGCACTTTGAAAAAGTGTAAATGTCTCTCTTCTCATTATTATTATTCTAGTTTTGGAATATTTTTTCACAAAAATGTGATTCTTTTTTTTGAGAGAGAGAGAGGGAGAGAATTTTTTTTAATATTTATTTTTTATTTTTTTAGTTTTCGGCGGACACAACATCTTTGTTTATATGTGGTGCTGAGGATCGAACCTGGGCCGCATGCATGCCAGGCGAGCAGGCTACCACTTGAGCCACATCCCCAGCCCCCCAAAATGTGATTTTTAACATTAACGTATACTGGACTTTTTCTTGTTATATTAAAATGCATAAATAAAGATTTGCAACAGTTTTCAGGTTTAATTTAAAAAACAGGATCAGTAGCGATACACAAACAAAAGGTCCTTGGGGCTCTCCATGATCTTTTATATTAAGACACAGTTTCTTAGAACAGTTTTGGATTAACAGACAAACTGAAAAAACAGTACAGAAACCTCCCATATACCCCCTGGACCTAGTTTCACCTATAACTAATATTTTTCATTTGTATGCTATATGTGTACAATATTATATTACATTATTATATTGATATATTATTCATTACACATTGTGAATGTTGATACATTTTGAACTATTATTACATAGATATGTCACTTTTAACTACAGCCCATACTGTATTCAGATTTCCTCATTTCCTCCCTTACACAGGTTGAAAGAAGCACTTGGGAGTAGAAGTGATTCAGATTCCATTTTTGTTTCTCCCAGATTATAGAATATTTGCATACATGTAACATCTTGGGGATGAGATCCAGATTAAATGTGAAATTCAGGGATGTTTCCTATATATTTTATACATATAGCTTGAGTGTAATTTTATGTACCATTTTAAGGTATCTGCATTTTGACTGTGACCTATTCCCTGAGATCGGGTGAGGAATTTTCCAACTGTGGTGTCATATCTACATTCAAAAAGCTCTGGATTCTGAACATTTTGGATTAGGAAAGATCAACCCGCAGCCTTTTTCTATCTCAGGACACCAGTGACGTTGAGCTATCACCTGGCCATGGTTCTCCTTGACTGTGACAGTTTCAGAGACTTTCATTGACAGTTTTGAGAGAGACTCATCAGGGAGATTGTAGGATGCCCCTCTGTTGGAATTTGTCTGATGTTTTCCCCGTAATTAGACCTCAGTGATGGTCTTTTCGGATTCTCTATGGTTTTTAAGAAGAATGTAAAGGGGTTCCAAGTCCCAATAGTTAGAGAACCATTGCTATTCTATTTAATTTTTATTTGGTGTAACAGAACAAGTGTTTGGTCATCTTTCTTGCTGTATCTCCAGTCTTTAGAACACCCAGGCGCACCGTGGGTGTAAAATAAATATTTGTGGAGTAAATGACTGTGAGAACTAGGCTCTCAGAGACAGCTCCAGGCTCAGAGAGGTTAAGTGAAATATCCAAGCACAGCCAGTGACTGAAAGAGGGAGTGGGGAGGTGGCAGGGGTGGGTTGCAGATGTGGCCCAGGGGATCCTTAGTTACACTTTGGAATCACTTGGGGAGTATTGAAATGTATCAGCACCCAGGCCTTACTCCCAGGGACACTGACTTGATTGGTCTGGAGATCAGGATTTTGAAAAACTCTCTTGGTGCTTGTCAGATACACCTGTTTGAGAACCACCTACTTAGAAAGTGTTCAAGCATCAGAGCCAGGGTTGTGTGGATAGAGTTAGAATTGGGACAGCTGCTCTTTGGCTGTGTGACCTTGGGCAAATTATTAAACTGCTCTGACTGCCTATCCTTTGTCTACTTCATAGGGGTGTGTAGATAAAATATAACAACAAAACAACAAACAAACAAACAAACAAAAAAACCCCAAAAAACAAAAACAAAAACAAAAACAAAAAAAACCAAACAAAAACAAAAACAAAACAAAACAAAAAAACCCCTGTCAACAATGGCTCAATAATAACCACTACCACCACAACAACTGCAAAGATGTATGGAGCTCCTGTCTGGGCTCTGTGCTCAGCTCTTTAAATGGCATTAGTTTTCAGGAGAGATTGAAGATGTTGGAAACAACCAAATCAGCGCCATTTGAGAGGAAAAGCGGATGCACATTACCCTATGCACCATGCAGATAGCGAAGAAATATACTAACTGCAATCTTAATAGCAATGATTACATTTCCTAACAGCATTTCCACCCTAGCGCGCTTTAATTTTCTCCCTTGTTTAGAAGAAGAGGCCAGTCTCAGAGATCGAAGGGAACTGGCCCAAAGGCACTCAGCGGCCAAGCGGCCAAGGCCAGAAGGAGCACCAGAAGGGAGAAGAGGGACCTCTGAGCCCCCATGGTGGCTGTTATCACGAGACGCTCGCGCCCTGGCCTTCTCAAGACCTCCGCAGAGGATGTGGGCGCGGCCCAGCGGTGCCAGGGCCTGGTCCCCTCGCTCCCGCGGGGATGCTCGGCCTCCGAGCGCTCTGGAGGCGCGGCTCCGAGCAGGGGGCGGAGGCTGAGTGCCGGAGAGGCCACTCACCCCCGCCCACCCTCCGTCCCCCTCCCTCTCAAACACGCGGTTCCCCTTCTCCCGCGCGGCAGCAGAGCCGGAGCTGGGCGCGGGGGAGGCGGGGGGCGTCCCAGAGGGGATCCCGCCCCCTCCCCCGGTCACCCGGAGCCCCCGCACCCACGTGAGCGCAGGGCCAGCTCGGATCCCGCCAGCTGCACAGCGCGTCCCGGCTCCGCGCCGGTGCCTCCGCGGTCTGTCCCTGAGCCAGCGCTTCACGGTTCCTGGCGGGTCCCCGCGGCCCCGGCCGGGCGCTTCGCCGGGCTCCGGCTCCTGATCTGGGCGCAGCGCGCAGGCCGAGGCGCGGGTGGGCCGTCCAGCGGCTCCGGACGCCGGTGAGTGGGGAGACCCAGGTGGGCGCGGGGACTCCGCGCGCGTTGGGCCCCTGAGGTTCCTGGCAGGCGGCGATCGGAGACGGAGGGCTGCCCCTGGCGCCCCCAGTCTCCACCTCTCCGCTGCCCTTTGTCTCAGGTCCTCACTGCCCCTTAGGATCGTCGCTGCGTTCCACCCTGGTCACCCTGAAGATCCATCGCTTTAATTCTCCCCAGGTCTCGCTGCTGCCCATCTGCCACCTTCCCAAAGGTGGCCTCAACTCGTGGGCGTGTTTTTCCATTGAACCTGGTGCCTTATCCATTTGCACGGCCGGGTCCCTCTCCTATCCGGGTTAATGGCTGCAATTCTAGACGTACCAGGTGTGGCTAAGACTGGCCACCGCTGCAGGGGATCCAGGTGTGTGTGTGTGTGTGTGTGTGTGTGTGTGTGTGTGAGAGAGAGAGAGAGAGAGAGAGAGAGAGAGAGAGAGAGAGAGAATGAATTGTGTTAATATCATTGCCTGTGTGCAATTTGATTTATGAAGGTTGGTTGTGCAGGGCAGTGAAAATGTGTCTGATGGTATACATGGATGTGGCGCGCGCGGGTGTGAGAATTGTATGACTGGTGCTGCATGCATAGAGTTGCATGTGTGTGAGATGTGTGTGGTTGTATGTTTGAAGAGTTTGTGTATGATGGTGTCCGCAAGGGGTTGTGTATATGTAGTTGCACATTAGAGGCATGTGAGGTTGTGTGTTCAGGTTGTGTGTGTGTGTGTGTGTGTGTGTGTGTGTGTGAGAGAGAGAGAGAGAGAGAGAGAGATATGTGATTTTTCTCCTCATCTTTCCCTGCCCTTTCGTTACTCCTCTGGCTAGCACAGTGTTGAGATAAAATGTATAGCAAACCTCCTTGCTTTGCCCAGGGTGCTTTGTGATAAGAACTCTGAGATGTCCTAAAATAAGTTATAAGCCAGAGAATGGCGGGAGGAAAGAGAGGACATTTTAAGTCAAGGCTTTAAACTAAATCAACAAAGAAAAAGAAGAAGGAAAATCCAAAACAACCCAACAAAAAAAACACCTGCTTTACATTGCTTTCCTGTTTCTGACCATCACTCTCCAAGGCCACATTAGATTCTGCTCTTGGAACTAACCAAGAAATAGCAAGAACTCTTCATAGACTAACCTTCTGTCCCAGGGCTCTGCCTGCGTCCCCTGCCCTGCCCTCTTATTTACAGCCAACATAAGGTCAATGTAAGTAACTTGTTTCTTATCTCCAAAAATTTTTTTTTATGAAACACCCTGGCCCCTTGTTTCAACTGCCATCTGGCCATGCGGCTGGTCACTTTGGGAGATTGTCCTAAGACTGGTCCTGTCACCTTTTGGCTAGCATCTGTACAGCTCAATCAACCCTTTATTTTCAGGGATCTCAGTCTTGAAGGTTTGATTTAGTTCTTGCTTTGGCCTTAGGGGTTAGGAGGTTCTTTCTTTCTCCCCTTTGTGTCTAGGGACAGCCCCTCATCTCTTCACATCAGAGTCCTGAGGCTGGGGGATGCGGAAGGAGACCCAGCCTCAAGGCCCTCACCCTGAAGGGACTTGGGACTCTATAAGGACCATTTCTGGGAAGCTTAAGCGACAGGGCTAAGTGAGGGTTTAGAATCAGGACAGACCAGAAAAGAGAGCCCAGGGTGAGGGGAGAATAATCCTCCCGCGTCTCAGAGAGATCCAGAGGGGCCCAAGTTGAGGTCAAGTTCTTGGGAGAACCAGCTCGAATCAAGCATTTTAAAATCAATTTTATTTTTATTTTTCAAGTCAGGCACAGAAAGACAAATGCTGTGTGTTCTCAGCCATATGTGGAAGCTTAAAATAGTTGATCTCACAGATGTTAGACTAGTTAGTGGTCACTAGAGGGTGGAAAGCTGGTGAGTAAAGGGAGACAGAGAACAAGACCTGAAAACAGTTAGGAAGAATATGTTCCTGAGTGGTAGAGCACAGTAGGGTGATTGTAGTTTACAACAATTTATTATATATATTTTCCAAGGAGCTAGAAGAGCGGAGTTCGGAGGCTTCCAACCCAAAGAAATGATAAGTGATTTTAAAGAGACAGAAATGCCGATACCCTGATCATATTCATGTTTTGAATTATCATATTGCACTCCATAAATATGAGCAATTATGGTGTGTCAGTTATAAATAAAAAATAAAAATTTATGTATATTTTTAATTGATAAGCCACAGCTATACCTTTCTACCATGAAGACAGGACTGCGAAAGTTGATTGGAAGATAGTCTCCTTTCAGCTTGAGCCTTTTTCTCTGTCCTCAATTGTGTGTCTGTTGAGTGTCTGTTTTTGTTTTTTAATATATATTCTTTTTTAGTTGTATTTGGATACAATACCTTTATTTTGTGTATTTATTTTTATGTGGTGCTGAGGATCAAACCTAGTGCCTCACACGTGCAAAGCAAATGCTCTACTGCTGAGCCTCAGCCCCAGCCCCTGAGTGTCTGTTTTTATCAACCACATTTGACCTCTGTTTTGTGGTCATCACGTGTGGTCATCATGTACCAAGTGCATTGAGCCATCTGAGCTACACAGCAGTCCTGGGCCTATTCCTGCAAGGTGGTATTGGGGTTTGAAAGACAGAGCTCATGTATGCTTTTCTCTAGGTTGGAGGTTGGCGATTTTTAAAATTTTATTTTCTAATTTTTAGTAAAGAGCCAGAGAGTAAAATTTTTTTTCAGTTTTTCTGCTCATGTGACCTCTGTTACAACCACTTAGCTCAGCCATTGAGCCTGAAAGCATTAGTAGAGAATACATAATGGATGAACCCGGCTGTGTGCCAGTAAAACTTTATTTAAAAAAAAAAGGCAGTGGGCTGAATTTGGCTCATAGACTATGATTTGTCAACTCCTCTCTAGCAAGCTGTCCTTAGGTCTCTGCAGGGGTTTGGTTCCAGGAACCTGCAGGGATACCAAACCCCTTGGATGCTCAAGTCCCTTATATAAAATGGCCTAATATTTGCATTGAATTAATGCACATCCTCTTATATACTACAAATCCTGTCTAGATAATTTATAATACCTAATACAATATAAATATTATGTACCTAGTAGTTATATGATATTATTTAGAGAACCAGTACATACATACATGCTTAGTACAGGTGCAATTATTATTATTATTATTATTATTATTATTATTATTATTATTTTTGGTTTTGGAGCTGGGAATTGAACCCAGGGCCTGGCACATGCTAAGCACACCTTCTACTATTGAATATTTTTGATTTTAGGTTGGTTGAGTCCATGGATGTAGAATTGCAGATATGGAGGCCACCTGTGCTGTCCTACATCTTATAAGGAAGAAGAAAGGAAAGAGTCAAAACTCCAGGCTCTGGAGTTTTCCTGTCTAGTTTGGATTTCAGCTGAACACTCTTGGTGTCCAGGGGCAAATTTGTGCTACCATTTAATGATTGGGAACTTAATAAATCAGGAGAGGGAGGAATTGTCCTTTTCCTGCATAGTTTCTGGTTTGTGACTATGAGTTTTTTACAGCAAGGTGAGAAGCAGCCTCATGTCTCAGGTGACCTGTCCATTTGGAGCAGAATCCCTCCTGGGCTGCAGGTTGGAAACCAGGTTCAGACCTGGAGGATGCAGGGGCCTTGACTGAGGCAGACATCCCATCCCTTGGAAGAGGATGAGGAGCAGAGGAGGACAAGAAGATAGTGATTCCAGAGAAACAGCTGCTTAGCCAGTGGCAGGAAAAAGAAACCTAGGGACCTACCTAATGGTGGAATTGAAGCCACCAAGAGATGCTCAGCCATGACCTGGATGTTTCAGGCATTGGGAGTGAGGAGGGGTGGCGGGGGCATGATCCCTCAGAGAATAGCCTTTATAAGTGTCACAATCACAGGTAAACCAGGTAAACAAATCAGGGACACAGTCCAGCACAGGGTACAATACTGAATGTCTTCTGTTGGTTTGGAGAGCTTTTCCCCTGAGTCGGATGAATCTGGCGTATTGCTCAGGAATCAGACATCCACTCAAGGGGAAACTGAAAGGAATTTAAGATAAGACTCTTGAGCAAAGTTGGTGTGGCACTTGGGGATCACATGGAGGGGTGGTGGGCAGAGACATTATCTTCGGGATTGAACAGGCAGGGCAGGGACTCAAAGGAGAGCTTTGGCTGTAGCAGAGGACTGTCCCATGGGACATGGTCACAGATAGAGGAATGGAAGGCTTCATCTTCATTTCCTCCCACCCTTTATTCTCCTGCCATATTTCTTTGCTGCCTTGATAGAGAGACCAATGGTTGGGGGAGCCTGGGAGTCTATCTAAAGAATTCTTTCTGCACCTGGCACAGGGTTGCAGCCATTCTTGCTGGGAGTAGGTCAGTGTAGGTCAGTGGCTTCTCCCCCAGGCAAGGAGGCTCAGTGCCCAGAGCCCAGGATATTTTCAGGGACCCATAGAAACAAACATTTTCATTTCTTTAAAAATAAGAAGAAAGCATTGAACTTTTAGGTCAAAGAAAATGATCCAATATATACTATTAATAGATCTATTTTTTCTTATAGGAGTTGAATTGCAGAAAGTGTCCAAGTGCCCCTGAGCTTAATCTCCGGTTCCCTCCGCCCTCCCAAAAAAACCCCCCACCCAAAACCCACCAATCAACAAATAGAATAATAGTCATAAGTTTGTTGTCTTGCAGTGGGGGCAATGTCCTGATAAATCCCTAGTAAGCTGAAAATACTGTAAGTCAAAAATGCATGTTAGAGCTGGGCATGTAAGTCAATGATAGAGCACTTGACCATCTCATGTGAGGCCCTGGGTTTCATCCCCAGCACTGGGGTGAAAAAAAAAAAAGCCTCCGATCTACCACTGAATACCAGAGCTTAGCAACACAGCACACTGTGGAACGTGGGTTGTTTCTGCTCATGATGGCCAGATTGGCTGGTAGCTGGGGCTTACTGCTGCCTCCCAGTATCACTCAGCAGTGTCATGGTGCTTATCACTAGCCTGGGAAAAGATCAAAATTCAACATTCAAAGTACAATTTCTAGGCAGAATAGAATAGACAATATGATTGATGTATGTACATTCCATGTATGTATTATATATCAAAATGCATTCTACTGTCATGTATGACTAAAAAAAAAATAAAAATTAAAAACAAAACAAAAACAAAAAAAACAAAAAAAAACAAAGTACGATTTCTACCAAATATGTTTCACTTTGAAACATCAGAAAGCTGAAACATTGTAAGTCAAGATTATCTGTATTTTCCTTTACACTAATGCAGTTCCAATTGAACTGCATTAATTTAAATTCAACATTTTTTTTTTTTTTTTTTGAGAAAGGGGTCCATGAAGGGAAAATTTCTCAGGTCCATGAAAGTAACCATTTCTAAGCTGCTCTAAGTTGGGAAATGGATGGGCAGGTTTTATTTTTATATGTGTTTTATTTATATTTATGAAAAACAACATTCCAGGTAGCGTTCTGAAGTTTCTATTTTGGATACTTTTTAAAAGATAATACTTTTTATATCTGGATATGGCCAAATGTAAGAAACACTAGTGTCTGAAGTGAGAAGCATCCGAGTTTAGTGCCTGAGACCCTGGAGAGGCTCATGAATATCACAATGGAGACAAGAATTGTCACTGTTGCTCTCCCTGTGGCTTCCCCTTCCCTCTGTTGCTCACCTGAGCATTCACGCAGGCAGCTACATTTATTGGGTGTCCTCTGTTTGCCAGGTAGCTGCAGATTTGTCATCGTGGAAAGCTGACTCTGGTTATCTCCAGGTCAGACACCTAACTATATTAACTTTGGGACTGGCCTGAAGGTGCTTTGTCCAGGTCTCTTCATGCAATTGGCATTCAGCAATTTGGATCGAGAGGTGGGGCAGCCCCCCAAATTCTTCTAATGGTGAAATATGGAGGGGACTGAAGCCATAAATGGCGAAAGTGTTAATAATTTTATGGCTTTCTTTCCCGGCTCTTCCCAGCTATGCCCAGGAATGATTCTGGAGACCTTGACCCTTTGCTGTCACGACATGACTTTTGAACTCCAGGCAGTGTCCCAGGTGTCCTAGCAAGGGCACAGCCCAACAAATGGACACATCTTTCCCTTGCCTTGTGAGCTTCCTCCAGTGCCCACCATCCTCCCATCCTTCCCCTTCCACCACTTCTGCCTTCAGACCTGGGCTCCTCTGTTCCCGCAGGTAGACCATGAGCAGCCACGGCAACAGCCTGTTCCTGCGGGAGAGCGGCCAGCACCTTGGCGGGGTGGGCTGGCTGCAGGGGCTGCAGGACAGCATGCAGCAGAGAGCGCTGCGCACGCGCCTGCGCCTGCAGACCATGACTCGAGAGCACGTGCTGCGCTTCCTGCGCCGGAATGCCTTCATCCTGCTCACTGTCAGCGCAGTGGTCATAGGTGAGCCCGGCTTCCGGGAGGGCGGGGACTTCCGGGAAACGTCCTGCTTGCATGTGTCTTTGCTCCAGCCGGCCACTCTCACCTGCACACACGTCCCACCTGCCACTGTTCCAACCTCCTATGTGTGCACACATTGTCACATTTGTCACATATGTACACGTGCACTGCACACAGTTTACACGTGCACAAACATGAACATATTTTATGGGTGCTCAGAATTTACAGGTGCAAATTCCTGTGCACACTTACACAAATATACAGTTGTATTGTGGTACCAGAAGCAGAGCCAGAGGATATGGAGGGCTGAATGTATTAGAACTTACAAACACATCCATTCCCACATGGGCATTCTCCTGAACATATATCTACAGACTTAAGTGTTTAAATATATGTACACCCCCCGTGTTTGAAAATAGTAACATATGCACAAGTCTCGTGTATGGACACTTCCAAGAAAATGCAGGTGCATATTCACGTGTATGGGCTTACATTCACAGGCAGATGTATAAGCTCACAAATGAGCGTGTACTCACATGTGCATGCATGTGTGTGCTTGAATGGGTGAAAACATCTGCACATGTATCAATATGTAACAAATCTTACATTTCTGCAATGTACACCTGTGCCAATGTGCACACAAGTGCATGTACTTGTAGAACGTTTTTCTCTTTCTCTCACTGATCCCCCTACCACAAGCCTTCTTGGAATGGGTGGGTCCTGTCTGGGCTGAGTGACCCACACTCCACTACATGGACCCCTCTTTTTGGCTCTAGGGGTCAGCCTAGCCTTTGCTTTGCGCCCGTACCAGCTCACCTACCGTCAGATCAAGTATTTCTCCTTCCCTGGTGAGCTTCTCATGAGAATGCTGCAGATGCTGGTGCTGCCCCTCATTGTCTCCAGCCTGGTCACAGGTGAGAGAGCCCAGGCTCGTGTTGACCTTCAAGACCCATTCAGAACCCAGTCTTGAACCTAGAGCCAAGACAGTTCCCAGCATGGGAGCTTGGGATCACCTTTCCAACTCAGCAACTCAAACATGGAGCCTGGCGTGGCCCACGGTCCTGACCAAAACCCAGGTCCTTGACTAGAACCCAGAGTGAGGTTCCTGCTCCTAGGTACCCACAGCACTTATCCCAGGAGCTTTCCTGTATGTCTCTTTGGAGGTAAAATGCCAGCCTTCAGGGCTCAAGTTATCCAGAGGGGAAGGAAAGGTGGTGGAGGGAGGGATGGGCAGCTAAGGAAGGTAGCTGGGCTAGAGGGTGGATGGGCAAGAGGTGGATGTGAATAGGGTATACAAGGTTAGTAAGGTGGAGGTGCCAGGATGCGGGGTAGGGAAGGGAGTGGGATGGGAGCACCAACAGTATCTACTCAGCCTACAGTGAGGTGGGTGGAGAGCTGTGATTGGGTGGACTGTGGGATAAGGAGTAGGATGAAGATGAGGTTATGTGCAAATAGGAGTCAGTAGAGCTGGGGTTGAAAAGATTGGCTTGAGTTACAGGGAAGGTAGTGTGGATGGTGGAGTTGTGTTTGGGGTAAAGAATGGGGTGGGATGTGAAGGTGTTTATGGAAAATAGAATGGGGATGGGATGGTGGTGTGGATGAATTGATTGTGGGGGACCCTGGGTGAGGTGTAGGGGGACAGGATGTTTGGGGCAGTGGTTGCTGAGTTGGTGGTTTGGGAGGTGGAACAGATGGATGGGGAGTAGGTGATGGGGTATGAATGAGGATACGGGGGCTGCACTGTCTGTCCTCAGGTATGGCATCCTTGGACAACAAGGCAACAGGGCGGATGGGCATGAGGGCAGCTGTGTACTACATGGTGACCACGGTCATTGCGGTCTTCATTGGCATCCTCATGGTCACCATCATCCATCCTGGGAAGGGCTCTAAGGAGGGGCTGCATCGCGAGGGCCGCATTGAGACCATCCCCACAGCTGACGCCTTCATGGACCTGGTCAGGTGATGTTCTAATTTTGATGGGATTTCCGGATGAACATGCAGCAAGGCAGGCAAACCCATCCTGGAAATGGTGACACCCCTTGGTTCCTATTTTTTGGTACCTATTTGTTGCCCTTTGCCCTTGCACATATCCTCCAAGAGAGCTAGGATATGATCTTTGTACCCTTAGGCTGGGGGAGGCTATAGCTGCAGTGTCTTGGAGCCCAAGCTCCATTTGAGGGTGAATGATCCTTTTATGCAGCAAGATTTTTTAGACAGAAAATCAAGGTTGGCAGTATTTCTGCCCTAGTCACCAGCTAGGGCATTACATGGACTTGGATGATTTTTAGGAACTGTCTCTGGTGTTTTGGGTTCTCATTGGATTGAAGTCTTGAGGTGATATAGGGGTCAGATAGACCTGGATCTGAGGTTTGTCTTAGTCTATTTTCTGTTACTACAACAGGATACCCGAGGCTGGATGAGTTGTAAGGAGCAAAGTTTTATTTAGCTAACATTCTGGAGGCTGGGAAGTCAAACAACATGGTGTTGGTATCTGGTGAGGGCCTTCTTGCTGCATTAGAACATGGCGGAGGGCATCCCATGGTGAGACAGAGCAAGTGTGCTAGAGAGAGCCTACTTTTATAACAAAGCCACTCCTCATTAATCCCTAAAGCCCTTGATCCATGAATGGATTAACCCATCTACGAGAGCCAAGCCAGCATGACCTAATCATCTCTTTGAGAGGGCCCCACCTCCCAATACTCTGCAATCAATTTTCACCATGAGTTTTGGAGGGAACAAACCCTAGGCAAACCACAGCTAGGCCCGTCTGCACCTTTTAGCAGCTGTGGGGCTTTGGACAACTACATAAGGCCCTCCAGTAAAGACCTGTTAAATCAGATGGTGTAGGTCAGGTACCTCACTCAGCATTTGGCCTAGACTAAGCATTCCTATGTTGGTTGACATTATTATTATCGTTGTTATTATTACAAGTATCGCCCCAGGCTCTCTTCCAAGGTCTAACCACTTTTCCTTCCTTTGATGTTTTTCTGCAGAAATATGTTTCCACCCAACCTTGTGGAGGCCTGCTTCAAACAGGTCAGTGGGAAGCACCCAGTTGGATCAAGGTGGCTGGGAGGGCCATGGTGGGGCCTGTTGCTGGGTGGGTGACCCAAGCCTGAGGGGTGGGAAAAAGCAGCTGAGAGAGGGACGGGCAGGAGGGGCCTATGGAGGAATCCAGGAGAATGGATTGAGTTCCCTCAGGTGTGGTGATCAGGACAAGAGGACTTAGGCCCAGGGCAGCCTGGGCTGGGGTAGGGATTCCAGGACTTCTGACCACACATAGTGAAGAGAGAGGCCTTAAAGTCTGGCTGAGCACGGCCCAGGGAGCTTATGAAAATGCGGAATCTACACTTACTCTTTCATGCTTGGTTATTCACGCCCTCATTTGTCTATTCATTCACTCATTTTTCAACGCTTTTTTTAATTTTTAAAAATTTGTTTTTTGATTAGCAAAAATTATATAGTTGTCCTTTGATATCAGGAGGGAATTGGTTCCCTGAAGATTATAAAATCTGGGAATGCTCGAGTCTCGATATAAAAAGGCAGAGTGTTTGCATAGAACCTGTCCTCCCAGAGACTTTAAATCGACTCTAGATAACATGTCATGCCTAAAGCAATGCAAACACAATGAGAATAGTTGTTGTACTGCATTGTTTAGGGAATAGTGACAAGAAGAAGTCTGTACATGTTAAGTTCACAGCCAGTTTCCCTCCTCCAAATATTTTTGATCCATGGTTAATTGAACCCACGAAAGGGAATCCACAGATGTGGAGGGCCAACTGTCTATTTATGGGGCATAAATATGTATACATTGTGGAACTGCTAAATTGAACTAATTAACATATACATTACCTCACATGCGCATTTTTGTGTTGAGAACACTTGACGTCTACTCTCAGTGATTTTCACAGTACAGTGTTATTAACTAGCACCACCCTGTTGTACAATGTATTTCTTGAACTTCTTCCTACCTGAGATTTTGTGCCCTTTGATCAACATCTCCCTAACTTTTCCCCACCAACCAACCTAGACTTGGGTGACCATTCTCTTATTTCAATGATATTACCTTTTGTGGATTTCATGTACGTCTGAGATCATATAGTGTTTGTCTTTCTATGTCTGGCTTATTTCACTAAGCACAGTGTCTTCTATTGTCATCCAAGTTGTTGCAAATTTCAAGGTTTTCTTTTTCTTTTTGAAGGCACAATAGTGTTCTATCATGAATATATTCTACATTTTCTTTATCCATTTGTCCATTGGTAGAGACAGGTTGATTGCATAGCTTGGCTGTTGTGAATAGTGCTGCAGGGAGTGTGGGAATGCAGGAATTTGAAGTGCGTGGGATCAGAAGTGTTTTGGATTTTTGACTTTATCAGATTTTGGAATATTTGCATATACATAATGTGCTATCTTGGCGATAGGACCCAAATAGAAGCATGAAATTCATTTATGTTTCATGCATACCTCCTATGCAGTCCGAAGGTGATGTTTATACAACACTTTCAATGCATCTATGTTTTGATGGTGACTTGTCACATGAAGTCAGGCATGTGGAATTTTCCACATGCATCATGTCAGTGCTTAAAAAATTTCAGATTTTGGAACATTTTGGATTTTGGATTTTCGGACTAGGGATGCTCCATCTGCATCTCCTCGTGATTCTGATTTGCTGGATCATATGGTGTTCTAATTTTAATTTTTTGGGGACCCTCCGTTCCATATTCTGTCACGGCTGTAGTAATTAATTCACTCCTCCTTCTATGCCTTGGCCCCGTTCTCCTCAGCAATAAGACTTTCTGGGGTGGGGAACCAGGAATTGGTGTTTTTAGGACTTTCTCCAGGTGACTCTGCTTCTGAGTCTGGGCCCCATCTCTCTGCATTTCAGTTCAAGACACAGTACAGCACGAGGGTGGTGACCAGGACCGTGGTGCGGACAGAGAATGGGTCTGAGCTGGGTGCCTCCATGCTGCCTCCGACCTCAATGGAAAATGAAACCAGCATCCTGGAAAATGTCACTCGGGCCTTGGGCACCCTGCAGGAGGTGCTCAGCTTTGAGGAGACCGTGCCTGTGCCGGGTTCAGCCAACGGTATCAATGCCTTGGGCCTCGTGGTCTTCTCTGTGGCCTTTGGGCTGGTCATTGGTGGCATGAAACACAAGGGCCGGGTCCTGAGGGACTTCTTTGACAGCCTCAATGAGGCTATTATGAGGCTGGTGGGCATCATCATCTGGTGAGTGCTGGGCTGTGCCCCGGGGCGGTGGTGTTGGTACACGGGAAGGGCAGAGCCAGGGCTGGGACCAGTCAGGCTGTGTGGAAGTTGAAGTGATTGGGGACATTTGACCAAAGTCTCTCATCTACTCTATGTATTGGTTAATTCACTCGCAAACTCACTAACTCATCATGTATTTCTGCACTGAATTATTCACTTGTTGACTATCTTCTTTGTGCATTCACTCATTCTTCTGTGTGTTGACCAATTGTTCATTCATTCATTCATTGAAACTCATTCATCTATATTCGTTCTTCCACGCACACCAAACATACTGTGGATTTTATTCCTGTATTAGTCTGTTTTTCATTACTATAACTAAATGCCTGAGGTTGGATAACTTCATAAAAAAGAGGTTTATTTAGCATATAGTTCTGTTGGTTCAAGGACATGGTGCCTGCATTAGCTTGACTGTTTAGGATCTCCTAGTAGATGGCACACCCAAGAGCCAAAGATTATATCACAAGACAGGAAGCCAGAGAGGGATTGAGAGGTTAAGCTGGTTCTTACAACAACTCTCACTAGAACTAACTCAGAATCCCGTAAGCACAGCCTTGATCCCTTCTAAGTGCAATGCCCCCATTAACCTAAGGATCTCCCACTGGGCCCCACCTCTTAAAGGTCCCACTACCCTTAACATCGACACCCGGGGGACCAGACTCCCAGTACATGAACTCTTGGGCAGTGTAAATCATATCCAAGCATCATCCCAAATAATTTGAAAGTTGTGTAGGAGACTTTAGGCCAATTTGACAGCTTGGAAAGTTTTCTGATGGGAATAGAAGGGAAAGCCTATCAAGAATAAGCAGAGAATTAACGGGGAGTGTTGGAGGCCCAACAGAACTGGGAACCATGAATTTACAGTGGTGTCATTGGCCTGGTTTGGCAAAATGTGCAGGAGTGCCAGGTGACTGAGTATCAGAGGTAAGAAGTCACGTGCAATTGATCCAGGATTGAGGCGTTTTGCAGGGGGTGAAGCAGAAGGATGGAGGCCACGGAGAAGCGTAAGACAGGTCTTGGGGTTTGACTTGGAGGGGATTCTGCAACCACGTACCAGAGCTCACTCCAGCCAGCCTAGGAAACACAGATAGGGCCGGAGAAGTCCCCTGCATCCTCCTTTTTTGACCCAAGCTATTGCGCTGACTTTCCAAGTGGTTCCCACCTCCTCCGTTACGTTCACCGTGAGAGTGATCAAGAAGCACTTCCATTCCTGAAGACAGAGGAGTTAGCAGTGGCATCCTGGGGGACAGACCACAGGCAGAAGCTCACAGGATTGAGTGACGGGCTGGTTTGTGTGCGCTGTGTCTCCATGTGTCCCCCAAAAGTCCATGTGTTGGAAACTTAATCCTCAAAAATATGTTGATGGTATTCAGAGGAAGAGCCTTTGGGAGGTAATTAGGGTTAAATGAAGTCATAAGAGTGGGGTTTTGTGATGGGGCTAGTGGCTTTATAAGAAGAGGAGTGGAGACCTGAGCTGACGGGCTTCGGGCTTGTGTCACGTGATGCCCTCTGCCATGTGTTGCAAGAAGGCCCCCCAGAGGCTGGAACCTTGGTACTGGATTTCCAGCCTCCCAAATGTGAGAAATTAATTTTCTGTACAAATTCCCCAGCCTCAGCGCGGTGTTTTGTTATAGCAACAGCAATGGACTAAGGCCGTGGGAAAGGCAGTTGGGCCCTGAGGATCCTGCTTCCTTCGCCTCCTCTTTTCCTTCTCCCTCAGGGACTTTGCCCTGGGCCGCAGAGCTTCCCTCCACATGCCCACAGTTCCTTCTCACCATTCAGCGCTCCACTTTAGTCACTTCTCCTGAGAAGTCCTGCTTGACCACCCACTTGTCACAACCTGGCGTTTGTTATTGCGGTGGTCCCCTCTGATCCACTGTTTCACTTTCTGCGATTTCAGTTACCCACGGTAAACCGGGGTCCAACAATATCAGGTGGAAAATTCCAGAAATAAGCAGTTCATGAGTTTTAAATAACCGTCATTACAGCAAGTTGCTGTATCATGATTCATTGTTTCATTGGCTATTGTGTCTCCCTGTGCCTAATTTAATTTTAAAGTTTAACTTATTAAACTTTACCATTGGTATGTATTTATTGGGGGGAAAACATGGAATATATATTTAGGTTCCAGCACTGTCCTCAGTTTCAGGCTTCCAAGGACCGTCTCAGAACATGTCCCCCAAGGATTTTGCGTTTCTATGAGTACCTCCTGTTTTCCCCATTAGAATGTGTCTTAGTGCATTTGGACTATAGCAAAAATACCACAGACTGGGTGACTTACACAAGGAACATTCATTTCTCACAGTCCTAGAGGGTGGGAAATTCCATCCAGATCATGGCACCCACAGATTCAGTGTGTGGGGAGGGCTGTTCTGGTTCAGGGACCGTGTCTTCTCCCCGAGTCTTCCCATGGTGGAAAGAGCAAAGCACCTCTCTTTTATATAAATGCTCATCCATCATTGAGCCCTGCCCTCATGACTTCTTAAAGTCCCTGCATCCTAATGCCACACCTTAGGGATTCGGATCTCAACACGTGTTTTTTTTTTTTTTGGGGGGGGGCGGGATAGGGCACCAACATTCAGTCGCTGGCCACGCGTAAGTGCCGTGAGGACAGGGAGCATGCCCCTGGAAAACAGTGCTCATTAGGTAGTTGCTGAATGAGTGGAGAATACAGAGGTGATTTCGAGGTGTCCGTAGGAGAAGCGGTGACAGGGCCCAGGCTGGGGAGGGCAGGAGACCATGCACTGATGGGAGAGGGGTAAGGAGTACAGATATGGAATGGAGAGTTGGGGGCAGCAGACAATGATGTTCAGAAGAGGTCAGAAGTGTCCCTGCACTGTTAGGGTAGGGGTCCTGGAGTTGGGTGGGGAGGCCTGGAGTGGGGAGTGGGATGAAGCCCTCATAAGGTGGCTGGCATGCCCTGGCCCCGTGGGAACTCTGGTGTGGGGCGAGTGTGAGTGAGCGGCAGGAGGAGGTGGGGTGTGTTGTGGGCCTGGAGGGGAGGTGGGGAGGGATCCCTGACGGGTGTGTGGCTTGCCCAGGTATGCACCTGTGGGCATCCTGTTCCTGATTGCTGGGAAGATTCTGGAAATGGAAGACATGGCCGTCCTTGGGGGTCAGCTGGGCATGTACACACTGACTGTCATCGTGGGCCTGTTCCTCCACGCTGGCGGCGTCCTGCCCCTCATCTACTTCCTCGTCACCCACCGGAACCCCTTCCCCTTTATTGGGGGGGTGCTGCAGGCCCTCATCACTGCCATGGGCACATCTTCCAGGTATGGCCGTGCTCCCCACTCTCCCTCCTCCTCTCTTCCATGGGCTCTCCAGGGTCCCGCTCTCCCCCTACCATTAACGTCTTCTGGTTGCACAGTCATGTCACAGGCTCTTGGAGACCCAGGTGGCCATTACTTATTTCATATGGAGGAGAACTCATTTTATATGGAGGGGCCAATTTTGAGTTTACAGATGAAGGTTCCAGAATGCCCTGGGAGCTCAGTCATTTACTAGCCCAAAGAAAGAAAGAGTCTCATCTTCCCTTGAGATAGTGTCTGGAAGCTCTTTTGACTTCCTTGTGCACTTTTTGGTGCTTTTAGGGGGCTCTTTATTAGCCCCCCTCATTAATCCCCATCATTAAAATTCAAAACAATTTGAGAAGATATGCAAGAGCCAAATAGATGGGAAAAAATGTCATTTTTATTGCTCATAATGCTCATTGAAGAACGTGCCTCTTTGATTGGTAGCTAAATAAGATTGGTGCCACTACACCCCTTGGTCACCATGGAGCTGGATGCCCAAGCATGACATAAACCTGACCAGACAGAGCACATATCCTGTGGCAAGCTGACCCCCAAAGAGATGCCCACTCCTTTCGCTAAACTCACCCATTAATGGAGTCACTCTGGCTTTTCTGGGTATTGGTGGAGGGTTAGTGTAGTTGGGGTTTATCCCAGAGCACCATGAGGCAGAGGGCAATTGGGGTCTTCTGTGATACCCTTGTCGTAGTCCCCAGGTGTGGGAGGTCAGCAATCTGGGACTGGACTGTTGGCTTTTATGCCATTGGCTTTAAGTGAGTCAAGAGGCCTCAACCCTGGGTTGTCTGCAAGGCTGAGTTCTCCCTTCATGAGGAGGCGCGCCCCTCTCCATCTGGATGGTTGTGCCCATGCCCTCCTCCTCTTGCTTGTGTTCTTACCTGGCCCCTCCGTGTTCCTGAGGGGAGTCCTCCTTGGGTCCAGTGCTACACCACTCTCCCCTGCCACTCCCTGTATCTTTCTCCCCCAGCTCTGCCACCCTGCCCATCACCTTCCGCTGCCTGGAGGAGGGCCTGGGTATAGACCGCCGCATCACCCGATTTGTGCTGCCGGTGGGGGCCACCGTCAACATGGATGGCACGGCCCTCTATGAGGCCTTGGCTGCCATTTTTATTGCTCAAGTCAACAACTATGAGCTCAACCTGGGCCAGATCACCACAATCAGGTGAGGTGCCTCAGTTGGGACCTGGGAGGTCATCAGTGTGACGGTGGGAGGAGGGACCCAGAACTGGCCATCAGGGGAGACCTCAGATATTGCAAAGGGGAAATGGGGAGAGCCCAATGCTGGATGAGGTTAAAGGTGAGACTTTGCCACCTGAGGCTGTCAACAGCCCACAAGAGGGTGCTGGACATTTCTCCCCTTGCATGCTGTTGAGAGACATCCCTTTTCCCAGAATTTTCCAAAGCGTGGCTGGAATATCCTAATAGCCCAAAGTTTGTGTTATAATTATAGATTCCTTGGTTCCATCACATCTAGAGAAAAACCACAGATGTAGGGAAGCATGCCACAAAGATAGTTTCAAATTTAAAAATTCTTTTGATCAAGGTCCCAAATAGCAGAATGAGTACTTCTCACGGGAAACCATTAGTTTTAGTGAAGTTATCAGAAAAGGTGAGGATGGGAGACTTTTGAGAGGGTGTTCTTTGGTGGATCTGGGGACTTGAGCTTCTTCCTACAGAGAGACCTTGGTGATGATGGCTTGCATGAGACCTACTAGGTAATGCCTCATATGTTAGCAGCAGGCAGTGATCGACTGCATGGAGAGTCCTAGGTTGGACCTACTCTAACTCAACCCAAAGGCTTTTGAGGTGGTCCTGATAGAATCAGCTCAACCTATCCAGAGGGGGCTGCCTGCCTCCCAAGGGCTCCCACAGGTCACTGTTTATTCCAGGGCCAGGCGTTGCAAGGGTAGGACTCCCTCACCATTCTGTCCTCTTTGAGACCCATTCATAAGGCTCTGCTCCTGCCAAAGGAAACCAAATCCAAACAGGATAAACTCAGGAGAAATTATGTGGCTTTTAGAAAATAGAATTTTACTTTTTATTAAAAAAATATTTTATCTATGTGGTTGCTGGTGCTGGGGCTTGAACCCAGGGCCTTCACGTGGAATTTTACTTCCTGGATATATTTTTGATAGCAGTAACTGACACCTTGAAGCACATATCATGTCCAAGCACTGTGCTCCTCTGTTGCTCACAGTAAGAAGGTCGGCACATGTCCTGCACTCTACAGAGGAGGAAAGGGAGACTCTGGGTTTAGGTCCAGTGTTGGACAGCTCATGCCTTGAGTCTGCTGGACTCCACAGTCCATGCTCTGTCACCAGTCCCAGCATTTGCTCAACCATTGATCACATTGGTTCTGACAGAGCCATCCTCTGGGCTAAGCATCTCCTGGAACTCCATGTTGACAATTTAATTTTTTCCACACTTTTTTATTGGTGCATTATAGCTGTACATATTGATGGAATTTGTTGTTACATATTCATACATGCACACAATGTAACAATATAATTCAACCAATATCACTGTCCAGCACTTCTTCCCTTTGCTGATGTTGAAAATTTTAGAATCTGCTAAGAGGTTTCAGAGGCCACCAGGCAGAGGGTGGTGCCCACAGGGTACTAGTACCTTTCCTGGTAGCGCATGGGCTTGTAGAATCCTTTTAGGCAAAGTTGGGCAATCAGAGTTGATACAGGATTTAAGATCTAGCCCATCCCTAGATCTGCTCTCTTTTCTTTGTTTATTTTTAAAAACCAATAAATTTGAGGAAGAGTTTAGGCTCTAGCACTGGACATTTCTAGACTCAGGATGGTCCAGAATGTTCCCATCTCTAAAGTAGTGAGCTATATTTAACTACTTTTCTTTTTCTTTTTGGTAGTGGGGATGGAACCCAGAGGCATTTTACCACTCAGCCATGTCTCCAGTCCTTTTATTTTTTATTTTGAGAAGGGTCTCACTGAGTTGCTTAGGGCCTCACTAAGTTGCTGAGGCTGGCCTTGAACCTGCCATCCTCCTGCCTCAGCCTCCCAGGTTGCTGGGATGACAGATGTGTGCCACCTCACCCAGCATACTACTTTTCTTTTAAAAACTTCTGTCCTTCCCCCCCCCCCCCCTTGGCATTATTGAAGTATAACTGACAAATAAAACTCATACATATTTTAGGTGCACAATGTGATTTGATATATGTATACACATTGTAAAATGATGATCTCCATCAGGCCAATGAACATCCATTGCTTCACATGGTCACCCCCACTTCTTCCATTTCTTTGGGTAGCGAAAACACTAAACAGCCACTCTTTTTGCAAACTTCAAGTATACAGTAGCATATCAGTAATTATCGTCACCATGCATCAGATCCCAGAGCTTAGTTCATCTTATAACTGAAACTCTGACCAACCTCTCTGCATTTTTATCCCTAAACCTCCTTATCCTGGGGAGTCACCATTCTACTTTCTGCTTCCGAGATTTCTGACTTTCTTTAGAGTCCATGCATGAGGGAGATCATGCATGAGCAGGATTTTCCTTTCTGCACTGGCTCAGGAATTTTTAAGATGCCTCAGGAAACTGACCCTTCCCCTTCTCTCTCTCTCTCTCTCTCTCTCTCTCTCTCTCTCTCTCTCCACCCTCTCTTCCTTCCTCCTGGTTTCCTGTATTCTCTCTCCACTTGCAGCATCACGGCCACAGCGGCCAGCGTTGGGGCTGCTGGCATCCCCCAGGCCGGCCTGGTCACCATGGTCATTGTGCTCACGTCTGTTGGGCTGCCCACGGAAGATATCACACTGATCATAGCTGTGGACTGGTTCCTGTGAGTGTTTTTGGGTCGGACCCTGGCGCCAGCTCTCCCCGCCCCACTGTTTTGTGATCCAGCAGGGACAGAGTTCTAGAATTTTAAAGAAAGGGGTCCTTGGAGAGTCCTCGGCCTGTGGACCCCAAAGTCCATAGAGTTAATAGTGGGAAACAGCAGGGAGGAGACAAACCATGAGGGTTTTACCATCGACCAGAACAGCTCCTTTTTGACCTGTTTCATGTATAAATCATAAGAAGGTGCTCCATGGCATGGTCTGGCTTTGTATCATACAAAAAATAGGTGTTTTTTTTCTCTCTGGTAAAAATTTTTAATTTCAAAACCAAAAGAATTTTGTAAGTGAGAAGAAAACATAGGTTACCTACAACACTAAGTCGGAAGGAATTTTGATTGATGAATTTCACCTTTCAGTGATGGATAAAATAATTTTGAGGGCTAAATCTTGGTGGGTTTATGAGTTAAAATGTTGTACCTAGTAAAATGCCACTTTTATGTGAAGACAATAGGAAAGCATTTTTAGATAGATAAGGACTGTTCTGTCCTCCCTCCCAGCTGTCCTTCCTTCCTTCCTTCCTTCCTTCCTTCCTTCCTTCCTTCCTTCCTTCCTTCCTTTTATCCACCCATCCATAATCTGGACTTTCACCCCAGTGGGAGCTGTGGGTGGGGACTTGAGTCCCACTGGAAGTCTGTAGCCTGCCCTGGTCAGTACCTCTATTGGCCCATCATGGCTGACTCACTCATGGTGGTTACCCTCCTGATTCTATATGCATTTCAGCTTATGGCCCCTAATCATCTGTATCAACATTTACATCTTAAAAAAGTATCACGTTGCTAAGAACAAATCAGAGTGTCTCAGAGCTGGCCCAGCCTCTGTTTGTTAGGAGAGGAAACTGAGGACAGAGACGGGGAGGTCCCCCTTGAGGTCAGATGGTCAGAGACTGGACTGGAATGTGAACCCAGGGAGCCTCCCCTTATGCAGCCTTTCTTCTGTGGAGCTTTTTAAGTCCCCACTAATGGCAGCTTCTCTCTCTTCTCTACCAGGGACCGGCTTCGCACGATGACCAATGTGCTGGGGGACTCCATTGGAGCCGCCGTCATTGAGCACTTGTCCCAGAGGGAGCTGGAGTTGCAGGAGGCTGAGCTCACCCTCCCTAGCCTGGGGAAGCCCTACAAGTCACTCATGACACAAGAAAAGGGGGTGTCCAGGGGCCGGGGAGGCAACGAGAGTGCCATGTGAGGGGCCTTCAGCTCTTCTCCAAGGCAGGAAGGAAGGGGACTGGGGAGGGGACCCTGAGGACAGTCGGCTGCTCAGCCGACCCTGGGCTGCACCCACGAGTTCTGCTTGGCTTCTTTGTGAGAGGAACTAAGATAAAGGAGCAGGAGTGAAACCTATTCAGGGTCTGTGTTTGTCTCAGAGCACAGGCTGAGAGAGGGAGCGAGCCAGAAAGGGGAGGAAAATTTTCTCCTGGGTTTTGGGGGAGAGGAGGCTTCAGGTTCAACAAGAAGAAAGGTCACCTGGTGTTATTTATTGTCTCAAGGACTGGTGGAACTGAAGAGGGTAAAGAAAAACTGTACTGTTTCTCATAATAAAAAATATCCGTGGCCTTTGTGTTCGGATTCCAAAGTCCACCTTCAGATTTCAGTGATTCACCAGAAAAACCCCGAGCTTGGAAGAGCCATCTACTCATGGTCATGGTTTATCACAGTGAAAGTAAGAGATTAAACTCAGCAAAGGCAAGGAGTGGTTGGGGTAGGGTCCGTAGACCACACGTGAGTTCCTAGCTCCTTCCTGCAGTTGCATGTGCCACGTCCTTCTCCAAGAAATGATGTGTCACAACGTGGATAGTGTACTGTCAACCAGGGATGCTCACCTGAATCCTGGTGGGCAGAGTGGGGTATTAAGGCATGGTCACATAGGTGTGAAGCACCTGCTGACTTTAACTATTGATTCTTCAGTGTCCCCCAGAGGTCAGTCTGATACAGCATGGTCTAGGGCTCCAGGTGAGTAAAAATGGGCATTTGCCATAGATCACATTGTTAGCGTAGACTCCCTGGGATGGCCCAGGGCTCTGGATTACAGACACACTTATCAGGAAGGTTCCAAAGATCAGAGGCCATCTTCCAGGAGGCAGTAAAAATACAGTCCTTTCTTTGGGATGAGTGGGCTTGGGGAACCCCAACTTCTCAGAATTAACCATTTATTGCACAAACTCCAAGGCTGTAGATGGGGAAAGCAACTTCCTGTGGGGAGGGTAGGTGGGTATAGTAGCCCCAGCTTTTGACTTCTGAGATTGAGTGACATTGTATCCCCATACCTGGCCTCAAGAGTATCTTTGCTACACAGGGGTGGAAATAGTGTTATTTTCCTGTGACCTAAGGGACCAGGCGGGACATTAATTCATGGAGAAAACATGAGTAACATGACTGTACACTTATTTCTAAGTTAAATTAGTTCACTTGAGCACCTCCCCCGAAGACAGAGGAAGATCCAAGTGCAGGTCCATTCTTTAGGATCCTAAAACAGCCCTGGAGCAGAACAATTCAGAAAAGGTGGGGAAGGCTCCAGAGCTTCTGTAATCATGGTCACTGCAGATGTGGGACGTTTATGGTCAGAGTTTGGAAATGGTCTATGCAAAAGCATTTGCCATAGATCACATTGTGAGCACAGACTCTGCTTCTAAACCCTCCTATGACACATATGACCCCAGGGGCCCTAGCCAGGGACTCCCAATCTCCAACCAGAATCTCAGAACCACGTTATCCTACCCCACAAGGATCTGCAGCCCCAGAGGGTCTTTGTGGGAAGGAGTCATGAAAACTCAAGGGATCATGTCATGGAGGAGGAAAGGATCCGTGTTCTTCCACGTGAGGACCTTCCTCCAGCCCTGTTTTCTTTATTAAGTCCGTGTCAGCCATCTTCCCCTTACCATGACTCATACCCAAGATGATCACTTTATAAAGAGAAAAGGTTTGCTTCAGCTCACAGTTTGGGAAGCTACGGTCCAGATTTTGGGTCTCACGGCAGGTGCACCTAGGAGAGAAAGCTGCTTACCTCATGGCCAGGAAGCAAAAAAAGAGGAGAAGGAGGTCCAGCAAGCTCTTGAGAGCATGCCCCCAGTGATCTCTTGCTAGGCCTCAACTCTCAAATTTCCCCCCAAGGACACCAAGCTTGGGACAGAGCCTTTAGCACATGGTCCTTCTTGGGCCATGCAATCTGGTTTTCAAAAATAATTGGATCAGTGGTTGTAGCTCCATGGTGGAGTGTTTGCCCCCCATGTGTCGGGCACTGGGCTCAATCCTCAGCACCACATAGAAACAAATAAATTAATTAAAGGCATTGTGTCCATCTTCAACTAAAAAAATAATTTAAAAAAATAAATGGATCATTTGGGGGAGATTGTGGATTGGATTAGATTTTCTTTCCATCCTTTCAATTGCCCTGTGATGGCCAGAACAAGACAAACCTGCCCCTGAGCACAGAGGGAATCTGTAAGGTACAGGATTTGCTTTCTGGATTCATGACAAGGAGGGAAGATGGACATAAAGTGGGGGAGGTCAGGATCTAGCTGGAAGCCACAAGCAAAAGATGGACACTCACAAGCCCGGAACAGAGCTTGTGTCCACTCTGCTCCTCTGCCCACGATGATGGGCATATCCTGAAGAACCCAGAGCCATTTTTCCTGGTGGTAAACACACACACCCTGGCCCAGGAGGCAGCAGCTGAAGGAAACAGAGAGAAATGGCAAGCCAGGTGCCACTTCACACCACGGAGCTGGTGAGCCACAACACAGCAGCTGCTGTTTCTTTAACCCTGTAAATGATCCGAGAATCTTCTCTGTGGCCTGTATCAGTTTCCTCTGGCTGCTGTAACAAACACACAATCTGGCTGGCCTACAACACCAGACACTTGTTTTCTAAAGTAATACTTTTGGAGGCCAGAATGAAGTTCAAAATTACAGTATTAATCGTGCTCTTTCCAAAGCCTCCAGGGGAAGATCCTTCCTGACTTCCTCTAGCTGCGGGTGGCTCCAGTCATTCTTTGTTTTGTGGCCACATCATTTTAACCTCTGCTTCTATCTCTACACAACCTTCTTTTTTCCTTTGTTCTTTTCTTTTGCATTTTATAAGGATATTAATTGCAGAACTTAGGGCCCCTCCAGGTAATCCATAGTGATCTCTCATCAAAATTCTTTTTTAAAATGAAATCTTCTAGAACCCCCTTTCCAAATAATGACACATTCACAGGGTCCAGGAGGACATATCTTTGGTAGGGCCACCAATAAACCCACTAACTGTCCCAAGAAATGTATCTCATCCTAGAAAAGAGCAGGGAGACAGAGAATGGAAGACAGTCATAAAGGTATATTTATTTTATTTATCCAGTGGCCAGTATGGACACTGGGGCTCCCACTGGGGAACCCTGGAGCCAGTGCAATGCATCCTTCAGAGTTATCTTACTCATTGAGCAAGGAAGTTATATACCAACTCCTGTCAGTCCTTGGTTAAGGAGTGACTTATGGGGCATTGATTGTCTGTGTCCATGGGCAGAGTAGACGCCAGTCAACAGAGGAATCTCTCAGACAAAGAGATGCATATATATCAATTTGAACCAGCAAGTATGTGCTAAGATGATAAGGCCTGCTGGGATAGATTCAACATTGTGCTCCCCTGTGGACTCCACCTTCTTGGGATGTTGTTGCAAGGGCTGCAATGATAGAAGCCATCTTGTGACCACCGTTAAGCCCCTCTCTTCTTGTTATTCATAAAGTGCACAGTAGGTTTTTGTGAAGTATGACTGCCCCACTGTGCTGCAGAACTCTGGAATTTATTTCTTCTTTTTAACAGGCACAAGCAAAAAAACGTTCCTTAAATGAAGCTACTTTAGCTTAGGCAGTGAGCAAACTTATTTTTAAATCATATCCCAAGACAAAACAGTCAGCAACTTAGGTGTATTCTTCAAAAAGAATAACTGGGCAAGATAATTTTTAAAAAGAGGAGCAAAGAGGGAACATTTGTCCTTCTTTTTTAAATTTTGAGATATGGTCTCACTAAGTTGCTCAGGGCCTTGCTAAGTTGCTGAGGCTGGCCTTGAACTTGTGATCCTCCTGCCTCAGCCTCCCGACTCACTAGTATTACAGGTGTGCACCACTGTATCCAGCTTCATTCTTCTCTTTAATAACATGTTTAAAACCTGTATTCCTCAAGGCATTGCAAACTTGGCTTATTTAAATAGACATGTCAATGCAGCACAATAATAAAAAGAAACCCAGGAAAGTTAGAAGTGGATATAAAAGTGCTCAATACTTGGTGCAGAAAGAAAGGATTTTGAAATAAACAGTGCTTGAATCCTTCATTGTTAATTGGAAGGAAATCAAGGTAAATTCCTGTCCAATGCCAATCATTATAATACAGTGAAGTTGGCCAGAGGATCTCAAGCTGGCTCACAGGAGAAAGTACAGATGAACACTTGGAGCATAAACCCAGGAGGAAGATAAAGAAAGGAATAGAACTGAGAACATCATGGACGAATTCACACATGTTAACCATGAGTAGGGAAAAAAAATTAAAAACAAAAAAGGAAACCCAGGGAACATATTTAGAACATATACGGCATTATAAACAAATCAATGTAGATAAATTTGTTTAAAATAATTAAAATGAAAATATTTAATATGATATCTGATCCAAGGAGGGGAGCCAAAATAGAGAAGGAATAACAGCCAGGAAATCATGACACCATGTTCGAGTCCATCAAGGGATCACACTGTCACCGAATGTGTGCCACGTGGTCAGTTAAACCTCAATAAAGCAGGAAAGAAGAAGGGACACAGCTACATGAGAATACTCACCATCGAAGGAAGTGGAAGTACTCCCATTTTTTCGATGTTTAATAATTATTATTATTATTATAAAGTTAGTCCAAGTTTCCACACCATCGTGCCTAAGAGAAGGAGCTGCTTATCCATCCCTGGGTTTGAACTCTGTCCTCACATCCGAGACCTTGACTTAGAGACCCATAACCTCTTACTTCTTTATCTACAAACAGGAGGAAAGGACACTGACCGCAGCTGCTGTTGGGACATGGTTCACCTGTGTTGTCTATGGGCTCACGTGTGGAAAGCGTTCTTTCCTGTTGTGATGTGGGAAGGGGGTGGAACCGTTAAGGGGTGGAGCCTATGCAAGTGTGGTCATCTGAGTCAGTGTGCAACCTGGTCAGTGTGGTTCTGCTCTTGGAAGGAGTTCATGCGGGTTCGGTTCTTGTGTGACCTTGGTGGCTATAAAAGAGCACAACTGGCCCCTCCGTGCTCTGGCTTCCTGTCTCACCATGTGACCTTTCCTTCATGTGAGGGCTACTGGCATTCCATACCCACCCGTCTAATAACACAGAGGTACCCTTACCAGAGCCAGAGTCATTCTATTGGGACTTTCAGTCTGCAAACATGTGAAATAACTAACTTCTTTTCTTTCTAAAGTACCTGGATTCATGTATTTTGTTATAGCAGTTGAAAGTGACTAATACATCACATCAAGGTGTTATTGGAGGCAGAGCTGGTGGGGTAGTGGGATTCCAGATGGCCAGTGTCACTCCTGG